CGAGGCTCGAACCAGCGACCTTCTTGCTGTGAGGCAACTGTGCTACCCACTGAACTACCGTAACGCACACTGATAAATTCAATACAGAAAAATATGCTGATTAAATATACAGCATTTTGTTTTTTTTTCGAAAAGTCAAAATGTATTCAGGTATACAGTAATTGAATAATCAAATGTAAAATAATATTGCACAGCCTTTGTTTTATTGACCTTATTCTAAAATGTGAAAGTGCGCCAGTTTTCAGGATTGTTTTAGAACTTCCAATTCAGTCCCCTATGGGAGAAATGACAAGGAAAAATAAACGGCAGAAAACGGTCAAACTACTTGCTCTACAAACAAATGTCTGCATGACTATACAGACCAAGTAGAATAATTTAATAAGAAAATATTAGTTTGCAACATCAAGCAGCGTAACGAGCACTTTTAAACGTCTAAAAATTAATGGAAGTGAAAGAGACCGGAAGTCTTGAGCCAATAAGATTCAAATGGCTGCGGCTGCTCGTCGGCAAAGAATAAGGTGATTAAACAATTCCATAAAATTAATCGTTACTAATTTTTCGAAATTTCCTTAGAGCTAAATGATTTTAAAACCCTTGGTGACCGGCCTCAAACACTTGCAAAATGAAGAATTATAATCCAGACTCAACATTGCATATACTTGCGATGTGACTATTGCGAATGATCACATTGCGATATCGATGCTTACACAATATATTGTGCAGCCAAAGAGTCCATGTCAGCTTATAAACAAAATATTGATACAAATTTTTTACAAAATCTTTTCAGCTTAGTCCCTTTATTAATCTGGGGTCACCCCAGTGGAATGAACCGTCAACTTATCCAGCATATGTTTATGCAGCGGATGCCCTTCCAGCTGCAACCCATCTCTGGGAATCCATACACACACACACTCATACACTACGGTCAATTTTAGCATACCCAATTTACCTGTACCACATGTCTTTAGACTTGTGGGGGAAAACAGAGCACCCGGGGGAAATACATGCGAACACGGGGAGAACATGCAAACTCCACACAGAAATGCCAACTAACCTAGCTGAGGCTTGAACAAGCGACCTTCTTGCTGTGAGATGAACATGCTACCCACTGGGCCTCCCTTGTATTAAGTTTGTATAAATTCCTCTAAATCTCGAAATAATTTAAATAAATTCCCATAAATTCTGTCAAGTTTCCAATTTAGAATATTTCCAAAATTCCAGAGACAAAAGCAACTCACTTTACAACCCTGGCCATCAGTTATTATTTTTATAACAGTCTCAATTCTCAATAGTACAATTATTAATGCAAAACCAGAGTGTATTTTAGACAGAACTACAGATGACAACATGCCTTTGTTTGTTTTAATGAATGCCTAAAATGATGCCTGAGTATGAAGTTATTTTCATGCAAAATGCTTCCTGTTGTAAAGTTTTCTTTGATGTTGACAGAAGCCAGAAGACACACACTATCTTTCTCTCTCAGCTTCAGTGATGACGAATGAAGCAAACACACATCCACGCATTCAGTTTCCCAGAAGCAGCTCGTAATGAAAACAACAGAGCACTTCATGTAGACTTCACTGTAACATCCAGGAAAATGTTAAAAGCTGAAATCAGCTTAAAGAGCCATTTAGAAGATTTCTGAAACAAACAATTCTCAAAAACAACAATGAAGAGAGACTCTGATCTCAAACCACATTCACATTTATTCTGCTGCGCTTGCGGCAGGCCAAAAAATATACATTTCAGCATCGATATTGCATTGTGAGCAGAGTTGATATGATTTTAATAGTTGATGTTGATTACAGCTGGCAGCAGGAGCCACAATTCAGTATGGTCTTCAATAGAATCTAACAATATTGAGGAACAGAAATTCAACGATCAAATCTAAAATAACACTGTGTAGTCTTGATTTTAGAAATAATCAAACACAATTAATTTTTGTTAAAGTGCAATATTGATGATGAAACGATATATTGTGCAGTTCTATAATGAACAATACTTGTACAGAATTTATTAATTTTAGTTCAACACTATTACTAATGCGTCATTAAAATCTAAATTCATGCTTATTGACATTATTTAATGCACTGTGAGTTAACATGAACATGAAATAACATTGACCAAGATAAATATTATTAAAATAAATGTATTGTTAATTGTTAGTTCATGCTAGTAAATAAATAATCGATATGACCTTTATGTAAAGTGCTACTGTAGGGCAGAAAAATAAAACATTGCAAAGTCTGTTTTCCAATATTATTCAGCCCTATTAGAAATCCTGACCAAAAATAATTGTGTATTCTTTTATTACTACTTTGTGTATTATTATTTGTTAACATCCCACAATGCAATTTACCATCATAACTAAACAGAAAACACACGAAATACAGAATACTGTTCAGTTTTTACAGTGAAGCAGAGAGCAAACTCCGGATTGAACTGACTTTTAAAGAGCCTGATAAACTGGATATCAGCAGGAGTGTTACTTTCATTTCCAGAGAACATCAGGTCAGGCGTGACGGAGCGTCTGTCTAGACAAACAAGGGCAAGATCAGGTCTGAACGCCGCACATTCACACATGCAGGCAGGCAGAGATAGAAACACAGCCAGATCTGCTCAGGAATTCAACATCTTTCCCACGAGCGCCTTCATCTCTCCGGCTCGCAAACACCAGCTCATATCACCTTGTTATGCGTTCAGCAAAAGATTACTTGGAAAAGTGCAGACAGATTTTGCAAGACGGTTAATCACGCGTCTTCAAAGAAATTCCATGAGTGAATGAGTCTGCTGGACAACAGGGGGCAGCTGTCTGAACAATGAGTTAGTCACTACAAATTAAGCATTAGTCGGGCGACTCCCAGCTGAGGATTCTGGAGCAGACAGAACGTCACAGAGGAGCTCATCCTCATCATAAATGTCAAAATTAACCACTGCTTTAATATGGTAAATGTGTAGAGATGTGGCTTTTTGGTGCATTTGAATAATTCAAATATCATGGCTGAACTTCACACAAATAAAATGCTGATTTCATGTAACCCAATGTTGGGTCAAATTTGAACAAGATCATACATTGTTTTACAACCAGCCATTTAATTTTTTTTAATTACCCTAATGTTGGGTGTATATATCAGATTTAATGTTGGGTAACAAGGTATATTTTTAGACATTTCTTTTGTTAACACACACACAAAAAATGCTGAGTTGTTTTAATCCAATGTTAGGAGAAATATGGACAAAAATCATACATTTAGGTAAAATATACATTTTAAATTACATTTATAATTTAAATTGATTTAAATTTAATATCTAAAGCAGAGTTTGTCCATATTTAACTCAATTTTGGGTTACAAGACCTGCATTTTCTTTTTGTTTTGTTTGTTGGTAATGTTGCAAAACCATGGCTGATCAACTACACACACTAAAATGCTGCATTGGTTTAACCCAATGTTGGGTTAAATATGGACAAGCCCAATCATTTAGTGAAAAGATTTTTGATTGGAAAAAAATTTACCTAAAGTTAGATTTGTCTATATGAGACCCAATGTTGGATTACAATAATCCAGTATTTTTATTTATTCATTTTAAATGCATATTTCATAATGTTGCAAAAACATTCTTGATTTTACACAAAAAAATAATGGGTTATTTTTAACCAAAAGTTGGGTCAAATATGGAAAAAAAAAAATCACACATTGTGTTAAAATGTGTCATTTAAATTTAATTGAATTAACCTAATGTTGGGTCAAAAAGTGTAATTTAAGTTTTATAAAAAATATCACAAAGTTGAGTTTGTGGATATTTGACCCAATGACAGATTAAAACAACTCAACATTTTTTAGAAAGCAGTGTAGTCAGTGCACCAAAACAAATCATAGTTAATACACTATTACTACAGGAAAAACATGGGTAATTCTTTTAAGAGCATCCAGTCCACCTGAAGCATCCACATTCAGAAGAATCTGCACATCATGGAAGAAATAATTGATGACAGGCTGTTTAATTATTAGCTAATAACACACGCCTGAAAGGGTGATGCTGCCACAACGCCCTGCTCATTACACATTTCATTAAAAGCCTTTTAGTTTTGATTTATTCTTGACATTTTTAGCTGTGAAATAACTCTAATCATTCAGCACAGTGATCCGGTGCTGTGCTCAAAACCTGCCGGAACTACTTTAGCTGTGTCATTATTTGAAAATAACTTTTACAAATAATTAACAAAGGGCTACTGACCTATTCACATCTCATTAAAAGTCTTCACTGTTTTGTGTCTGAGAAATAACTGAGAGGATTAACTGCAAGTGATATGTAGTTTTAATGTGATCTGGAATTAGTTTAGTTGTGCGTTTATCTGAGAATAACAGCACGCCTTAAGATTAAAAAAAATTGTCAAAGAGACCTTTAATCTCCTTCAAAGTTTTTGTTTTTATATTTTAATGTTGGTGTCTGTGAAATAACTGAGTTCTATCAGGATGATGATATGTAGCTGTAATGTGGTATGGGACTACTTTAGCTGTGCCATTATATGAAAATAACAGCCCACCTATGAATATTCATCAATTATTCGTCAACAACAGCCACTTTGTGTGGTATAATACAGCATAACATACACATGCACACATATGAAGCATTGAGAAGAAAAAAAAACATACACCAGAGCTTTCCCTAACACAAAAACCTCACTATAATACATCTCCATAAGCATATGTGTTCGTCTATAACTCATATTCGAGACAGTTTTAGTGTGCTGTGAGCTAATGATTACAGACTCTGTCACTGACCGCTTCACCCACTAACCGGATAAGTTACCTACACCACATAAACTAGTCCCCTTCAAAACTTTCTAAGGAGTTCGTCTGAGTCTAACCAGTGACTTTAGATAACTTTAGAAGATTGTAAACACACCGCGGGCTCGTGTGATCGCGGGAATCAACACCGAAAACGGCAGAGATTCGCGCTTTAACGTACTGAGGGGGAAAAGCGGAGCAGATACTCACAGATCGCCATACTCTGGAATGAAGTGGATCTCTGGCAGTTACATGTACAGGAGACATTGGCGAGGGTGTCGGTGGTTCCGTTCGTCAGACCCATGAAGCTGAACATTGAGGAAATCGATGTGAAAAACGGACGGTTTGTCGGTTGGTTAGTCGGTCGCCTCAGCGCGCGTTGTCGAATAAAAACATTGACGCAGGCTTTTCCTATTCTGTGTCTACCGTCCTCTAACCGCCGTCCCCCCGCCCCCGGCCCGCTGTCTGGCCGCTGTGCTCCAGTATTCCCGTTATTCCCAGACGGTTTGTACTACTTTCCAGCGTCTGCGCGCACCTCATTCAAGTCCAAGTTGGCTAGGAAGCGGCAGGGGGCGGAGCCAACATTGAGGGGCGGGATCTCGAGGCAGACAGCGTGACGTCATTGCCAGACTTGGCCTTTCGCAGAGCGTGCGAGCCAATCGGAGTCACACGGGGATCAAACAACACACACACACACACACACACACACACACACACACACACACACACACACACACACACACACACACACACACACACACACACACACACACACACTGTATTGATCGATTTCACTGGGACAGTCAAATAAAGTGTGTGTGTGTGTGGACGGAAAGACATCACAGAGAGCACAGACGGAATATTTTACGCACTTTTAGGTCTGATTAAGTTTGATGTGCTTGAAAGATGTAATTAATGTAAATATTATGTATTTTATATCATAATTTGAGTGAATAAAGCGCTCTCCTCTCGTTTTGGGATTTTAAAGTTTGTCTAAAACGACATCAAAACAATAAAAGTGTAATGGAGATTTAGAATGCACATAAAATAATGACTATTATCAATTTTTCTCACGGTTTCCAGAAGATCCTAAAATTTCACTGACATTGAGTCTAATAATTGAGTCTCCAACAGTTGTGTTCCCTTTTATTCACCAGGGGGTCACCACAACGGAATGAACCACCAACTATTTCAGCATATGTTGTACGCAGCGCATACCCTTCCAGCTGCAACCCAGTACTGGGAAACACCCAAACACACACTCACACTCATACACTACGGCCAGTGTAGTTGATCAGTTCCCCTATAGCGCATGTGTTTGGACTGTGGGGGAAACCGGAGCACCCGGAGGAAACCCACACCAACACGGGGAGAACATGCAAACTCCACACAGAAACACCAACTGACCCAGCCGAGACTCAAACCTTCTTACTGCGCCACCGTGCAGCCCTTATTTTATATGAATTATTATTAATATCACTACATGTATTTTTTTAAGGACACTATATACTGTATAACTGCAGGTTAGCTATAAATGTATTAATTTTGACGATTATTGAATGTGTGTGTGTGTGCGTGTGTGTGCAAGTGCGTGTGTGTGTGACGCAGATAGACACACCTGTGAGGATCTGTTCAGACATGTTGGACAAACTACTGATCAAACAAAACATCACTATTCTAACACATTAGGAAACACTCAGGTGTGGCCAGCACACACACACACACACACGCACACGCACACACACACACACACACACACACACACACACACACTGGAAGTGTCTGCATTACATATATTTTCAGAATAACAATGAATATTGGTTTACTTTGCTTAGCATAATGGGAGTAAACAGCAACATAATTGAACAGCATTCTCATTCTGAGCTGTACTTATTAAAATATATTACGTTTGTGATTCTGTTTGCAAAGATGAAATACTTTTTACGGTCAAATAAGTAAAGCCGAGTGGATTTATGGATATAGTGGAAAAATATAAAGATTTTTCTCACATTTGCATATTGTTTGGGATTAGACTTTGCCTATACTTTTATTTATTTATTTATTTATCTATTTATTTATTTATTTATGTAATTTACTTTAATTATATTTTACTGTATTAGTGTAGTGTTCGTTTCCTCTTCTAAATTTTGTATTTATTTATTTCTTTCATGTGGCAACATGGTGGCGCAGTGGGTAGCATGTTTGTCTTACAACAAGAAGGTTGCTGGTTCGATCCTCGGCTGGGCCAGTGCATTTCTGCACTGTTAAACTCAAAAAGTTAAAGTAACTCAAACCTTTTGAGGAAACCGATTGCAACAAACCCTCAAAAAAACAAAAAAAGAATCCTAATGAGTACTGTGAACTTAATCTATTTGACTAAACGAAGCAATTTGAGGAAAGTAAAACCCAATAAATGAACTCAAACCAACTGAGAACTGTAAAAACCAGTAAGAGAAGGCAACTCGCACGGTTTGATGAAACCTATTGCAACAAACCATTTGAGTTAAAAAAAAATCTGTATGAGTACTGTGAACTTACTCCATTTAAGTTGAAGTAATGAGAGGTATTTAATTAGCACATTTCAACACTTCAACACTGAGTTCAACACTCATTCAAATGAGTAGAGTTAACTTTCAGTGAATTTTGAGTTAACTACACTAATTTCATTTGATAAAGCTGGCAGTTATGTTTTACAGTGTGCTAACATAAAGACTGAGTAATTTAATTTACTGTTTGTTAAACAAAGCTGTGTGGAGTTTGCATGCTCTCCCCGTGTTGGCGTGGGTTTCCTCCGGGTGCTCCGGTTTCCCCCACAGTCCAAACACATGCTCTAAAAGGGAATTGGGTGTGCTAAAAATTGTCCGTAGTGTATGAGTGTGTGTGAATGTGTGTGTGTGTGGATGTTTCCCAGTAATGGGTTGCAGTAAGAAGGGCATCCGCTGCGTAAAACATATGGTTGATAAGTTGGCAGTTCATTCCGCTGTGGCGACCCCAGATTAATAAAGGGACTGAGCCGAAAACAAAATGAATAGATGCATTCCATGTGGATTAGTTCATTTATTTGTGATTCATTTGTACTAAAATAATGCCAAAATATGTTATAAACTCACTTGTGACTCACTGTATTTTTGTAAAAGCACAATGAACATTTATCCAGCTCATTTTTAATAAACATGTCAACAATTTCACTCCACGCACAGAAATACAAAAACATCTTAAGATTGTATAAACATAAAGACTGAAAATGATTTTAAATATTACCACACATTATTTTTTCTTAATTATACATTATTTGTGCTGCTTACAAATGAACCAAATCAATACATTTTAATATCGGTGATTTTAAACATAACACATATGTGCTCTGTGGATTGAAATATGTGTCGCCAAGTTTATTTCTATAGCACATTTCATACACAATGGTAATTCAAAGTGCTTTACATAAACATGAATAAAATAAACAAGTATAAGAAAATAAAAACAACTAAGAATAAACATTTAAAATGATTAAAAACAAATAAAAACAGATTCAAATGTGTTAAAACCACTGAGCTACATTGTAAATATGGTAATATTAATTCAGTATGTATTAATGCACTATACTATTAGAGAAGTGTGTCGAGGTCATCTGTCTGGACAATCACATGATGACAGACAGAGAGCAAAACTCTGTTGAGCAACACTGAATCATCCAGAAATAGAGCAGTTCAGTGTGAGCCGTCACTGAAGATTGACACACATCCCAGATATAACTGCAGACTGTATACTGATTTCACATTTTTACATGTTCTGATGCTCTTTTATAGTTTTTAAACGCTGTTTACGAGTTACAGAAAACAATAAAAATCAGTAAAATGCATATAGTCATGAGTGAAAATTCACTGAGTTACACAATAAAAAACAATGCTTCAGAATGTAGTTTTATTTATTCATTTGAAGTAGCAAAGAGTAGAGTAGTATATAGATGCTATTTAAGTCTACTTTTATTTTACAAGTCTACTATTTAAGTTTACAAGTCTAAGCTTTGTTCATTTTATTTATGCATTTTATTGTATTTGATTTAATTTACATTTGATTAATTATTTTAATTACATTTTGTAATTTATTTTTATGTATGTATTTTACTTTACATTTACATTTAATTTAATTCATTTTAATTTCTTTTTAATATTTATTTATAGGTTGAATTATTTATTGATTAAGACAGGCTCGATTCATAATTAACATGTTAAATTATAATTAAAAACAATTTTAAACATTTCAGATGTGTATAGTTTAATATTTTAGTTAAATCATGTGACACAGTGATGAGCAGACATGACTAGATTAACCTGAAACATTATTTTGGTAAAATATAATTTTGTGTGTTCCACTCCATGTGTAATAAATACTATAGTAACTTATTGTAAACATTACAATGTTTTTAAATCATACTATAGTAAAGTACTTGAATCTGCTGGGGTGATTCTGCAGTTGCTACAGTAACACAACAACTACAGCAATTGATCTGTTGTGGAGATTCTAGAGTTGCTATGGTAACACAACAACTATAGTAACTGATCTGTTGTGGTGATTCTACAGTTGCTATGGTAACACAATAACTACAGTAATTGATCTGTTGTGGTGCGAAATCGCATCATGTGACTGCATGAGACCAACGATAATCAAAACATGACCTCTCTGGAGTTTAAGGGTTTAAAATATGGACCAATCGCTCGCTTCTAATCATCTTGTTTAATCACGGCCGTTTTCACGGCGCCGTACAACAGAATTTCCAGAAGGCGTCTCCACATCAACACCTGAGAGACTCCTGTTCCTGTATGCATGTGTGTTTCGACAAGTCAAGTGGAGAGAGACTGAGATGAGGAACTAATGAGAAGGGATCATATATCTTACAAGAGGGAGAACAGAGTGAAGAAGAAACAATGACATTAATCCACCACAAACACACACACACACACACAAACACACACACACACACACACACACACACACACACACTCACACTCACACACTGGTCATCTGACCTAAATAAAGTGTTCTGAGAGCATCAACAATGAAGCAGCGCAAGATGTGACTTGAGTGTATCTGACTGAACAAATGCATCAGGCTGCAGGAAAAACTGTGTCTAGACACACACACACACACACACACACACACACACACACACACACACACAGATACATGTTTATAGTCCTTTCTTGTGAAATCTGTTTAGTTAAAAAATGATCAAATCTATTAAAACTATGGTGACGCAGTGGAGCAGTAGGTAATGCTGTTGTCTCGCAGCAAGAAGGTTGCTGATTTGAGTCTCGGCTGGGTCAGTTGGTGTTTCTGTGTGGAGTTTGCATGTTCTCCCCGTGATGAGTTGCAGCTGGAAGGGCATTCGCTGTGTAAAACATTTGCTGTATAAGTTGGCGGTTCATTCCACTGTGGCGACCCCGGATTAATAAAGGGACTAAGCTAAAAAGAAAATGAATGAATGGATGAATAATATTTAAACTATCAAAACTGTCTTCAGATAAACTGGATATTAAAGGGCAGTTAA